GTGCATCGATCATAAACATGTTCGGCGAACGTGACACTACGCTACCAACAACGTTGTCGAAAACATATCCTTGCTCAGAAGTGAGGTTTGGGAGATGTTCGCTCGTAAAGGCGAGCATGTACTTAAAACGTAGGTATTCTGTGTCTTAATGGATAACGGCAGGTAAGCCAACTTTTCATTGTTTCGTGCGTGATGCTGCAAGACAAGGTCGATCTCGCAAAGGGTTGCGTTTGTGGCTTTGAACTCGGACANTGGATAACGGCAGGTAAGCCAACTTTTCATTGTTTCGTGCGTGATGCTGCAAGACAAGGTCGATCTCGCAAAGGGTTGCGTTTGTGGCTTTGAACTCGGACATTGACATGCGGAAGTCTATCGTAAGCTGGGGTTTAAAGTGTTTCCAAAGATTGCCCGGCGCTCCATCGAGAATAAGAGTAACGAACGGGTTTCGCAGTTAGTTGTTTGCCGGTGTCAAAACAGATGGTCATTGCTTCTTCCAACAAATCTTGTACTCTTCATCGTTTTTGACAATGTCCATTATCTTGAAACAAGGAGTGAATTACGTCGTCGACTGTCCTAAGAAGCTAACCCTTTTGTGACGGGAGTTATACTCGAAGTTGCACAATAAGTCACCTGATCTCTCGGGACTTCGGGTCATTGGAGCGCGCGCCTTCGTACATCACGAGAGATACCGAACGAAGCTGGACGACAGAGCTTTCGAAGGCAAGCTATGTGGTTTCGGCCTCGACAGCCAGACCTACCGGGTATTGAATCCATCCAACGGGGCCGTGGTCGAGAGCGGGAATGTGACTTTCATCGAATCTCCACCCCGCTCAGTGCCCTTCCAGTATTCCACTGAAGCAAACGGGTACGAGAGCGACGTGCTGAGCTTCACCTCCCTGCTGGACAGCCCCCACTCGACGAGCGACCTGGACTTCACGGCGCAGAACGAACTCCTTCGGCAAGAAGTCCGGAAGATGCAGCAAGACAATCTCGCTCGGGAGAAGCTTCGCCTAGAACTGGACGGGCACGAGGACGAACATGGAAACGGGCAAGATCTCGGCGACGGGGACGCTCCATCACCACATCTCCCATCGACGCCAGCTGGATCGTCATCCGAGACCCACGCATCTAGCCCCAGTCCATCATCGTCGAACCCGACTGAACCGGACACTTCTGCATCAACTGGATCCTCCGGCATGCGGCGCCTGCAAGTCACCAGAGCCAGCACGCGCGGGAAGCCCACCAGCGACGATCATATCGACGTCAACTTGGTTCCTGCCAATCTGGAAGTCACCATGAACGACCGCGGTCGAGCCCATGCTACAACGGGCCGCGTGGAGCCATCCGGTCTTTCCTTCACTCAGCTGGCTGAGATAGCCGATCAAGCCCAGCTCCCATGCCCTGGCGATACTGAGGATTTCGCCCACGTTGCGGAAGACCCCTTCACGGTGCCGCGTGCTCACGCCTACGTCACGACCATTCACGAACACCACGGGATCTTGGAGGAGACAAATCAAGCGATCGAAATCCCCAACACCTACGACGAATTCATGAGCTCTCCCCAGCGCGAAGAATGGAAAGGAGCGTGCAGGAAGGAAATGGGCAATCTGCGGAAATACAACGTCTACAATCTGGTCCCCCTCAGCAGTGTTCCCAAGGGAGAGAAGATCCTTGGAACGAAATTCGTCTTCAAGAAAAAGCTGGACGGACGCTTCAAAGCTCGCCTGGTAGTCGGAGGACATCGTCAAGAGCCAGGACAGGACTACGGACGCAGCTACGCACCAGTATGCCGTATCGGGAGCATTCGCATGACGTGCGCCATTGGCTGCCACAACAACTGGCCCATCTACCAACTGGACGTTGTCGGTGCCTTCCTGAACGCCCTCTGCGACAGAGATGTGTATGTCAGACCCGCCCCCGGTACATCCGCCAAGAACTCCGCGACGGGAGAAGCTATGGTGTACAAACTAGAACGGAGCCTCTAAGGCCTATCGCAGTCGCCTGCGCTCTGGTTCGACACCCTGGACGAATCCCTCACTGTGTTCGGATGGAAAAGGACTCAATCCGACCCCTGCGTGTACGTGTATACCAGCGGCAACATCATCGTGATTCTCACGGTCTACGTAGACGACATTCTCATCACAGGAGGAGACCAGCAGCTCGTGGACCAGAAGAAGAAGGAGCTCACGGATCGATTCGAGATGACCGACATGGGAGAGGTAAAGCGGATCCTCGGGATCGACGTGCAGCGAGACTACGAGCAAGGAACCCTGGCCATTTCACAGGAGCACTACGTGAACACACTTCTGGAGCGGTTCGGAATGCAAGAGGCCAACCCAGTGAGCACTCCTGGATACGGAGCGGAAATCTCCACGAATCAACCTCAGGACCAAATCCTAGGACCCACGGACAAGAAAATCTACCAGTCGATGACAGGAAGCATCCTCTACCTGGCCCAGTGCACGCGATTCGACCTCTCCTACGCTGCCCTACAACTTTCCAAGGCCTGCAGCAACCCAGCGCAGGTGAACATGACAGCAGCCAAGCACGTTCTGCGATACCTTCGGGGTAATCCAGTTCTTCCTATCGTCTACAAGAGAGGACAGTTTCGGCTAGCGGCGTTTACGTATTCATCCTTCGGAGANCCAAGGCCTGCAGCAACCCAGCGCAGGTGAACATGACAGCAGCCAAGCACATTCTGCGATACCTTCGGGGTAATTCAGTTCTTCCTATCGTCTACAAGAGAGGACAGTTTCGGCTAGCGGCGTTTACGGATTCATCCTTCGGAGCAAACCCCGACAACGGAAGATCTACCACGGGATATCTCTTCTTTCTGGCTGGAGGACTCATCAGCTACGGTGCGAAGACTCAAACTCTAACCGCGCAAAGCACGGTCGAAGCCGAGATTCAAGCACTTAGCTACTCAGCCAGAGAGGCGGTCTACATCTCAAATTTTATGACGGAACTCAACTTCAAGACCTTCGGATCGGTTCCCATCAACAGCGACAGCACCGGAGCGCTGACAGTGGCCGGGAATGCCATGCACTCTCAACGCACGAAGCACGTGGCCCTGAGGTACTTTTTCATCCGGGAGCTAGTACTACGGGGACAAATCACTCTTCACCACCGGCCCAGCGAGCACCAGTTGGCTGATATCGCGACCAAGTACCTCCCAAAGCACCGATTCGCCTCCATCATTCAGCAGATTAAGGACTTCTCGTGTTGATCGAAAATCTGTGATGCTCCCTTCCATACCAGAAGGAATTTATTTTCGATACGGTGCCAACGGAGGGGTCGAGGTAGACAAGGAT